GACTAGCACCAACTCCAGCGCCACTGGTCTGCTCACCACCGACTCTACTGATCTCAAGTTCACCCAAGTTGTGTACGTGCAGTGGCAGAAGTGCACTGCGTAGATGGCTGATTGCGGTTGATGCAGGCCCAAGAACCTAACAAGCTGGATAAGCGTGAATGGGCCATGGGAGCTGAGCGTTGAAGATCTTGAGTGGAGGAGGTGTCAAGGCGATGATTGGATGATTTGATAGCTTGCTTGTTTATATTTTGATGTCTGTAGTTACTTGAATGAGATGCGCATCTCTCACTACTTTTCTGTACTGCTATATGACCAATTATCTGATTATGTGTGCTAGACATGAAGTAGAAGGTGGTATCAATATGCCAGCGTAGTAGGGTCATGAGACGAAACTAGCCTTTGCCATACTTACTACGTCGGAGAAAGTGGAGATGGGAGGCCGGTCTTGGCATTCAGGGTCGTGGTTGCCCTTTCCGAGACCCCTGTCTGTTTACTGTGGCCGTGCGTCGGACAACAGAAGTTGGGGAGCAGTCCAACACCGTCATTGAGCCCACCAGTCAGCCACACCACCACTCTTTACATACAGCGTGCTGCCCGATATCAGACGCTGTATAACACAACTGTCGTTCCATTTCACATCCCCACGGCGCAACCATGGCCGCTGCGGGCGCGTCCTCCATTTCCGTCACTGTACGAGTCCGCCCTTTTACCATTCGAGAGGCAGCCCAGGTGACGCGCAATGACGACCAAACTCTGTTCCTTGGCGATGGCTCGCTGGCTGGCGTGCCTGCACCAAAAATCCATAAAGGCATCCGGCCTGTGATCAAGGTCATGGATGAAAAGTGCTTGTATGGCAACTCAGGAGTACCACGCCAGTATTTGGCTAACATGGTTTCAGAATATTCGACCCCCCAGAAGACAGCGCTATACATAGATTCGGCCGTTCAACAACCGGGCCTCAAGGCAAGCGAGCAAAGGATCAAACGTTTGCATTCGACCGAGTATTCGACGACACAACTTCCCAGAGCGATGTATACGAAGCCACAACCAAGCCTTTGTTGGATAGTGTTCTTGAGGGATACAATGCAACCGTCTTTGCATATGGTGCTACAGGATGTGGAAAAACGCATACCATCACGTATGTCTATGCCCACCGCTGTTTAACATAGGAGGGGCAGAACTGACCCGTGACCAGTGGAACATCACAGCAGCCCGGGATAATCTTCCTCACTATGCAAGAACTCTTTGAAAAGATTCAAGAAGTGCAGGATGAAAAGGCCACCGAGATTACACTTTCGTACCTAGAGATCTACAACGAGACGATACGTGACTTACTGGTGGAAGGTGGCAGCAAGCATGCCCTGATGCTGCGGGAAGATGCGAACCAAGCAGTTTCTGTAGCTGGCTTGTCAAGCCACAGGCCGCAAAATGTTGGTGAAGTTGAATTTTTGTGAATCGCCCCCAATTGCTGACAAGATGTAGGTTCAAGAAGTCATGGATATGATTGTTCGCGGCAACGAATACCGAACCATGTCTCCTACCGAAGCCAATGCTACCTCGTCCCGATCTCACGCTGTTCTCCAAATCAACGTCTCGTCTAAAGACCGGAACGCCTCCGTCAACGAGCCCCACACAATGGCTACGCTCAGTATCATCGATTTGGCCGGAAGTGAGCGAGCTAGCGCTACCAAGAACCGTGGAGAGCGACTGACTGAGGGTGCCAACATCAACAAGTCTCTTCTCGCATTGGGAAGCTGTATCAACGCCCTGTGCGACCCGCGAAAACGCAACCACATTCCGTATCGTAATTCAAAGCTCACCCGATTGCTCAAGTTCTCACTCGGAGGCAACTGCCGCACTGTTATGATTGTTTGTGTCAGCCCGTCAAGCGCCCATTACGATGAGACACAAAACACATTGCGCTATGCCAACCGCGCGAAGAACATCCAGACCAAGGTCACCAAGAACGTATACAACGTCAATCGCCACGTCAAAGACTACCTAGTCAAGATTGATGAGCAAAGACATTTGATTGAAGAATTGATGAAGAAGCAAAAGGATTTTGAGGGTAGTGCATTCATCAAATACCAAAAGCACAGTGAGAAGAAGGACGGTATTCTACGAGATGCTATCATACGTCTACGTCAAGCATATGCGGATTCGGAGCCCGACCGTCGAGAACGATTCAATATGTACAAAACACTGAAGCAAGCTGAAAAACGCATCTCGCTCATCTCTTCGTGGATTGCAGCATTCGACAACGTCAGAGATATTAGGGAAAACGAAGAGATGCCATCGCAAATCACTGCGATGAGGGACACTGCGGTCGGGATTTCAGCCGAGCTTGAGCAAACGAGACAACATTGCCACCGCCGTTTGGAGCGCACCAGTTGGATAAGTAAGATGGACACTGCCCTCCAAGTAGGACTGAGAGGTCTAGCAGAGGTGGACAACAACGCCGATGGCCGTGACGCTGCCAATCTGACACGAGAATACGAACTCCTCAAGTCGAATGCAGACCGCGAACTTTTCAATGCTCTGCTTGACCAAGAACGAGGCGGTGATGCTGCCATTGTCCAAGTGCTTGTCCAAGCGCACATTGAAACTGTTGCAATTCTGAACCAGATCACTCAAATGGACGAAGCCGACGCAGTCGCCGCCGCACGCAAGTTACTAACCAAGATCATGAACGCGTGTACAACCGCCACTTCACAAGCTATTCGTCCAGATGGCGGCTTGTCAGTCGCTGGATTCTCTGAATCAAACTACAAGGGCACGCCGAAGCGAAAGAAGCCTATCAACATCATAGAACCCTCTCCAATGCGTCCATTGGCCTTACCCACACTGGCTGATGCATCCCATCTCACTGCATCGCCCGCAAAAGCGTCGCCACGCCGAAAGAAGCTCATGAGTGGGGTGAAGAAGGGCATCCAGTTTTCTCCCATGAAGAAGAAGTCACCCTCGAAGATTAAGCGAGGAGTGCGGTGGAGAGACGATACTGAGAACGGCACGCTTGCGGAGTTCCAAAAGACACCTGAGCATGTTGAAGGTACCCCAACTACCACCTCAATCGACGTGCCGCAGCCAAACTTCACCGCTCCCGCTCCCGCCCCCGCACCAAGACTAGATGGAAGCGGCTCTTCGCCCATACCCACGCCGCCAAGGGCATCTGTGGATCTCAAAGGCGCATCGCGATTCGCGGTTGGCGCCCTTTCGAAACGGCCCGATGGTTCGCCTACCTCCCGCATCCCCGCCCTATACACCTCGGATTCTGATAGCGCGTCTCCTCTACGCGAGATTGCCAGCAATCCGCGTGGTTCTGGGCTGAGCCACGTACAGAGTGCATCTTCCCATGCTGCGGCCGAGGCAGATAGTGGTAACTCCAGCTCTGAAGGAGAAAAATGGACAGCATCAGATGCACGCAAGATTAGCCACGCAATTAGGCGGCGCTCTTCTACCAATGCCGGCTCCGTACCAATCAGCCGCGCTCATCGGCGCCGCAGCCCAACGGCAGCGACCATTGGAAGTCCGCCTGGCGAGAACTCACTTTTATCTGCGGGTGCAGCACGCCGAATGGTCAAATCCAACCACGACGCTGACTGGAAACACAGCGTACTCAGTCCACGAGTCACACCCATCATGAAAGGTGCCGCGAGACGTACTACCGTGGCTAATGGTGACGACCGACCACGGGAGGCGCCGGCAAGCCTGAGTTCGCGAGCACCTGTTCGCATTACCAGTGGCTCTTCTGCGAGAGGTACCAGCCTAATGCCTAACTCTAAGGGCGTTTGGCGTTGATTGCTTTCTTCCTGGAGAGAAAATCACCCAAGTATTCAGAGAATGCATTATTAGGGGGTTGATGCTTCTTCTATGAGACTGTAAAGTCTCATATTTGTTTCTTTTCAATTGCATATCTCTCAACTTTACGTTACCCTTTTCCCTGTCAAACTCTCACGTCTCAAGCATGAAAATTCACATTTAGAAGTATCAACGACACGGTTAGCCGGCTGGGTTGGCGTTTGTATACCATCTTCCTGCCCATGGCAGCGATGCGGATTCGTTGGCTGTTTTGTTAAACTGCATTTTGGGCTGAATGGCAATGCACTGGGCATATCTTACTCGTTTTTGGGTTTTCTTCGGTGTCTCTGTCTTGGTCAAATCATAGGCTGTTCTTGCATCAGTCCCGTCAGCAGCATTTTTCTTTTAATGTCTATGCCATTCTGTTTTCCATAACTGTTTCTGTAACGCTGTGATGAAAGTAGAGTTGTATCGACCGTGTTTCCACATGACATCATGTCTCATTATGAATGGCAATAAAAACGAACCTGCCTCTCGGTCGACCAATGAAGTCGGAAATAAGATCGCCCAGCACTGAAGGTCTAAAGCCCGCGTGAAGCCTTAATTGCTGCTAATAGTCACATTTTACTCAAAATGTACTTTGTCAAAGTAAGTACAGACTTATAGTTTATTTATCTTATGGTATTGTTCTTTAAAAGAATACTATAGTGGTGCTAATTTTTCGTAGTAAAGGTAGCTTTAAGGTTTCCGATATCACCCGATCAACCGAAAGCTTGCTCTATGTAGAGGTACTCTTCGGCCAATTTCGGCGCAGTCGGTTAGTAGCTGCTCTAACATCATGACCTCGGAATCGTCCTAGTGCAATTCCACTTTCTCTCAATGACCCCGCACACATGATTGTCGAACTTTTGGGCCTATTGGACGCGCGCTAACTGACGTGGCAACGGGCGAGAAACGGACGAAAGACCTGGGAAAGCACAAGATGCTTATTAATACTATATGTTCTTGCACTTCAACATACTAATATGAAATAACATTTGCCTCATTGTCTTACCACTTTTACCAACCGCATCGTTCCAGTATCAGTGACACAAGATTCAAATACACATTTCTTGAACCAGCTAAGAAATCACATCTTTTCGGACCTAGAATCCATTGTATCGTTAGAGGAAGGAAGAGATATCAACCTAGGTCGGACAAGAATGAAGGAAGCTCAGGTTTCTAAAGGCGTGGTGGTTGTGATCAAGGATGTTGAGATTCCAAAGCCGGGTCCCAAGCAAGTCGTTATCAAGGTCGTAGTGAGTGGAACTAATCCCAAGGACTGGTAAGCTCTCTCTCTCTCTCTTCATCGTTTATGCCATCCCTACGAACCTCTCTGGTCTCCAAGATATTGCTCAATCTAACACAGGGACCAACAAACAGGAAACTCGTTGAATATGGCATGAAATGTGATCCCAACACAGGCGACGACATCGCCGGCTATGTGCATAGCGTCGGCTCCGAAGTTTACGAGTTTAAGCCAGGAGACCGCGTCGCTTCCTTCCACGAAATGATGACTCCTGGCGGCAGCTTCGCAGAGTACGCCGTGGGCTGGCAACACACGACCTTCCACATTCCCACATCCGTCTCTTTCGAAGAAGCAGCCACAATCCCCCTGGCCGCTATGACATCAGCAATCGGCCTACAGTTGCGACTCGGCCTCTCCAACCCATGGACTCCCGTGCCAGACGGCAAAAAACTGCCCCTCGTCGTATATGGCGGTGCCAGCGCCGTCGGCGCCTTCGCCATTAAAATCGCCCGCAAAGCGAATATCCACCCCATCATCACCGTCGCAGGCCGCGGTACATCTTATGTGGAAACGCTACTAGACCGGTCCAAGGGCGACATAGTCATCGATTACCGCGACGGCGACGAAGCCGTCATAAAGAAGATCCGAGATGCGCTCCAAGGAGAAAAATTAAGCCACGCTTTCGATGCCATAAGCGAAGGCAGCTCGTATGATAACATTACAAAGATAATTGACGCTCATGGCACAATTGGGGTCGTCCTGCCTATTCATGAGCAGAAGAGTGTACCGGACACTGTGACGCCGGCGATGACGAATGTGGGGTCGGCGCATGGCGAGGATGCGGATTTCGCGCATGTCATGTTTAGGTGGATGGCGAGGGGGTTGCAGGAAGGGTGGTTTAGTGGACACCCGTTTGAGGTTGTCCCGGGGGGTCTGCAGGGTGTACAGACGGGGTTGAAGAATTTGAAAGAGGGGAAGGCGAGTGCGGTTAAGTATGTTTATAAGATTGGGGAGGAGTGAGGTTTAAGTGATGGTGAGAAAGAACTTTTGAGTATGGTACATTTCTTGCGTGAAAATCCATGGAGAGACGATTATCATTCTTTTATTTTTTTTGGTTACAGCGATAGGATTTGATTGATTCAAAATGGTGACGTGGAAGTGTCTATACGTTACCATTGCAACTTTCAATTTCTACACGTTTTCTTTGATAAAAAAAGAGACTTGATAGCCTTTGGATACAGCAATGTGCAGTTGGCATCTTGGTTTCAGCCCCTAAAGTATGTAAGTCTACTATACTCAACGCTGAAGACGATCAATTTACGCTAACATTTCACTACACTTTTATTACACCGATTCCTAGTTCGTAACACGAATACTATACTTCCCACCCGCCAACTCAAACACCGCCTGCCCATCCTCAACCACATACTCTTCCCTCCTCAAAACAACCTCATTAACCACAACCTCCCCGCCCTCCCCCTCAACCGGCAACCTCACCACCCCCCTCGTTCCCCCCGGCGTCTCAACCACTAAACTATATCCCCCCTCTCCCCTCTCCCACTTTACTCTAAACCCGCCCAACCCGGTCGTAAACCCCGCCTCGGCCCTCTTCAAATCCCCAAACCCCGGCTGAACCTCCCACCTCCTGCCCGCAGGCTCCGTAACCCTAATCCCCGCCACCCACTCCGTCATGGCGCTCGTCGGCCCAGAACTCCACCCATGACTGTGACTCACGTAACTCGCATCATTTCCATACCCTCTCTCAGCACGATACCCAAACGTGCCATCGACTCTATACCCCTCGATGACGGTGCTACCATACGTGCCGTTCAGATTCTTAGCGTACCAGCCCCAACTTCGACGTATGAGGTCGAAGGCGCGGTCTGCGCGGCGGGCTTTGAAGTGGGCTTGGATTTCGAAGCCGGAGATGAAGGGGGAGATGTTGCCGGGCAGTTCGGGGGGTTGGGCGCCGAGCGGGGTCCAGTTTTGGGTCAAGGCGGTGGAGAGGGAGAGGGCGGTTGAGGAGTTTGAGGGGATGAGGGAGAAGAGGAGGGCGAGGCTGTTGGCGTCTTGGGAGTAGAGAGAGGTGAGTGTTGCATTGTCGCGGAAGGCGCCGTGGGAGGGGTCGAAGGAGTGGGTCAGGAGGGCGGTTTGGAGGGAGGTGGCGCGGATGCGCCATGTGGAGGCTAGAGAGGTGGTGTCGTTGAGCCAGGTTGCGAGGAGGGCACTGGTTTGGAGGGTGTGGAAGAGGAGGACGTTTGCGGCTGTGTTGTTGGAGCCGGTATTCCAGCGGCCCCAGTCGCGGGTGCCGGTTTGATTGAGGAGGCCCGACGAGTCTACTTTGGCGTAGATGTAGTCGACAGCTTTGAGGTACTTGGGCCAGTTCTTCAGAACAAAGTCTGCGTCGCCCGTGTACAGCATGTAGTTGTACGTCCCGATCAGCGTCCACATGTGGTAGGTATCGCTCTTCTGCTGCAAGAGCGGAGGCCCAGATTCCGGCAACGATCCATCAGCATTCTGATAATCAAACATAACCTGCAACGCATTCCTCACACTCTCCATATCCCCCGTGCTCACAAACGCAGACGGCACCGCAATCCCCATATCCCCCGGCCAAACCGCGCGATCTCTCTTGGCCCCATCAACCAAGATACTCGACCCAGGTCCCAGCGTCCCGTTATTTGCCCACCCCTTCGCCAGCATGGGAACCCATCGCCCGGTATTTGGGGGTACAGCATTCGTCTGCAGCGTATACGCACCGCCATACCAAATAGCATTAAGCCACGAGTCATCGCAGTAAAAGTACCCCTGGTACGCCCGTAAGTTTGACCACGTAGGTTGGAAACTCAGTTCCAGCTGCGCATCTGTCAACACAACATGCGTCCCCGCATCTGTAAGCAGATACACGGTCATGTATTTGAACCCGCCTCTCAGCACCTCATCCGGCATCGTATACGCCCCGGGTCCCGCACCGGAAATGTTGAAAAACAGCGCTCCATCTCCTCCTGAGAATTTCCCGTTGGATGAATCAGACGTATAGCCGACCCAGTTCAGTGCCTCGGAGAATGCGATGCCAATGGTGCCTGTTCCGTTGCTGGTATAGGTAAGCGTTGCAATACCGCCGACTTCGAGGCCAAAGTCGAACACGACAGTCGTGCCGTTGCCGCGGAGAGTGGCGGTACGCGGGTAGCTTGCTGGACGCCGGTCGCGAAGTGTGAAGACGGAGCGAGGGCGCACAGTGCGGTTGCGAGGTGCATAGATGAGTTGGTCCCAGGGGCCTTTTGAGTGGCAATGTTAGGAAAAAAGACCAAGCTTGAAGCGAAAATGGGAATTCTTGGGGTCAAGACAGAGAAGAAAAGGTTTTACGGACCGGAGAATGCGGCTTCAGTTGGTCCTGTGCAGATGGTATCTCGCCAACATCCTGCTGCTAGAATGTCCAATGGGAATAGTAAGAGTGCAATGATTGACCACACTAACTTTGACATATCCATGGTGCTCGAGATGGACCTGTGGGCTATTGGCGATTCAATCGCATAGTTCGCGACTCCAATTGTACATACGTCCCAGGACACTATATATCACTCGGCATGCAATATGCCGAGCGGGCACACCGGGCCGGGAACAAGTGATATGCATGTAAGAAGATCAGCAATGCGGGGGAACGAGGTACAGAGACGCCACAGTAAGACAAAGGATCGTGCCTTGCATCTGAATGACTAAACGTATTGCATTCTTTCGTATCAACAAAGCTGTAGTTTTTGCCTTGATAGACTCACGCCAGAGAAACCCGACTATCATTCCAACACCATCATCTCACGCCTACAACTTCCACTTGATCTCACCCGCAAGAATCTCCTGCCTCCTCCTAACATCCACATCCCTCGGCCCCTCCTTCTTGAACTTCGCAGTGATAACCCACTCGCCAATCCCCCTCCTCCCCTGGCCTTGCTCTTCCACTTCTTTGCCCGGCCGATCCAAAACAAGCACAGCCGTGCTCTTATCCACGCCACCAATACCATCCTGCTCGCTCTCACCATACTCGCCCTTGCCCAAGACAATAGGCGAGATGCAAGCTTCCGCGAACGGAACCTCAGGCTGGCCATTGTAGAAGCGCGGCTTCTGCAGGAAATCAAGGAGCCTGTCGCGCTCGGCCTGGAGTTCGGATACAGAAGGGGTGGGTGAAGATGACGAAGTTACGGTTGCAGCTAGGTACGGGGACAGGATGAATGTGAGGAAGAATTGTGGGGGAAACAGGATGATTCTGTTTTGTCGCGCGAGATCTATCCATTTGTTTGGCGGCAAGAAGCGTGCGGCCGTGTGTTCGATGCCGCCGTCGTGCCTGGGTTTTGGGATGATGACTTCGGCCTCTTCCTCCAGGCCCGAAGAAGGTGGCGTGCCCCCGGGAGCAGCGTGCTTGGTTGGTGATGCGGAGCCAAGAGGGAGTAGGTAAATGTACATTTGTGTAGTAAAGCGCTTGGGCAGGCTCTCTGGTGTTACTGCTGGCGTAACCCAGCGGGTAAAGGGAATTAGCGATTCAGTGTCGGGTACGGCTCCCCATTTTTCCAACAAGTCTCCAAACTTGATTTCTCCGTTATGAACGGCTTTTCTTCCTTGCTCTCTTTCCTCGTCGCTGATTTCGGTGAATAATTTACCAGTTTTCTTGCTCTTGGCTAGGATGATACCGCATTCTTCAAATGTCTCACGGATGGCTGCCATGCGATATGCGGGTCCATCTCGATGCCTGTCGGGATGGTCTGGACCAGGCATCTCACCATCGTGGGTCTTTGAGACTGCGCCACCAGGGAAGACATGTGCAGAGGCAAATGTAGAAGCCTTGGACACGCGATGAAGCAGCAAGATTTGATTTGTTGGTGATATTAAGAGTACGCTGGATATTGTTAGCATGTGTCGTGTAACAAGTTCTGCTGGTTTAAGATCAGTCTAATTTGGAGTACGACATACCTTGCGCTTGGCCTGGGAACAACAGGCGTCTTGGCCGGCTTCTTAGGCGACTGATGGTCTGGTTTTATAGACATGTTGCACTTCTGGAGTCCAAGTATCCCTTGCTGGTGAAGGGATAAGCTCGTTGGCAACGCAAGCAAGGGTCGTACGCGGTGCTGCAGTCGAAGAGTTGAGGATGAGCGAACAGCTGAGCGTGTCGAATTCTGAAAACGCGAAAGTGAGAATTGAGCTTTGCTCTTGAGTGAGATTGAATTTGTCTTGAGCATATCTAGCAAAGAGAGGGCGTAGCCAATACGTGAGGTGTCGTCTGGTATGACACGGGAAGATGCCGAGGTTAAACCTAGCGCGGTGAGGGACGCGGGTCAAGACGTTGTGGGGAAATTTGCGGCAGCATCACCCTCTGCCAGCTGAAGATCCAATTCATACGTTGAAAATGAACAGAGTTCGTGGTATCATTGCTTTTTGGCCTATCCATTGCTCCAATACCATATAATCATCAGTCATCTTTGCATGTCGCGTGTCTAACAATGAGAGAATCCTTCCTATAGCCCAACAGCAACCCACTAAACGCCCTCCCAATGCATTGAATCACTTTTGTCCCTCAACCGCCTAAGAGTAAAGCTTCTTGTCGAAGCTGTGCAATCCGTGGACGTTACCTTCAGCCTGCGCGCTGGCAGTTCGCAATTCGAACCTGACAGTTCCGTTTGAGACACCTTCGTGGAGCTCCGTAAGGCTCTTGACACCAATGTCCTGCAGAGAATGCTGAACACCAGCCATGAGGTAGGGAACGAACTTGGTGATGGAGCCACGGTCCTGGACAGATCCAGAGACACCCTGAGCGACCAAGACACGGTCGCCCTCGGAGAAGTAGCGCGCAGTACCGGCGTTGCTGGCCTTGGAGTCTTGAGCGCCGCCTCCGGCCTTCTTGTCCTCCATAGCAGCGATACTACCCATGCCACGGTAGGCCTTGACGAGCTGGCCGTCGCGGCTGACAAAGTACTCTCCGGGAGATTCGGTGGTACCGGCGAGAAGACCGCCCATCATGACAGTGGATGCGCCCATGGCAAGACCTTTGACGATGTGTCCAACGTTCTGAATACCACCATCGGCAATGCAGGGTACGCCGAATCGTCGAGCGAAAGATGTGACGTTGTAGACGGAAGTGGCTTGCGGTCTTCCAACAGCCATGACTTCTTGGGTAATACAGGCGCTTCCACTGCCCATACCGATGCGCAGACCGTCAGCGCCGGCAGCGATAAGCGCAGCGGCTTGTTCGCGGGTGACAACATTGCCTCCAATGACGTCAAGCTGGGGGTACTTCTCCTTGACGTACTTGATCATCTCGATCTGGTACATGCTGTTACCCTGGCTGCTGTCAAGGATGACAATATCGAGACCGGCATCTACAAGCTTTTGCAGACGGATCTTGTCCTCTGGTCGGGTACCAATGGCAGCGGCAGCGATCAACTGCTTGGAGTGGGGGAGCTTGGAAGCGAGGGGGAAGTTGAGGTTCTTCATCAAATCGGAGCGCGACAACAGCGCGATGAGGTTGAAGTTCTCATCGACAATGGGAAGCTTGCCCTTCTTGGACTTGTTAAGGATGTCGTTGGCCTCCTTGAGCTCGACGCCGTGGCGGGCGGTAACGAGGTCGGTCGACATGACCGCAGTGACGGGGTCGTCGAGCTTGTCATGGAACTGAATGTCGCGGGGTGTGATGATACCAACAAGCTTGGAGCGTAGGGTGCCATTCTCTACAGCCATTGTTAGCAATTGCGCATTGCGAGATTTGGGGGGAAAAATGGCAGATTTGAAGCATTTCAGGGACATTTTCTCCACAGCACGACGGAATCGTTGCGGATGAACGAAAGTTAAAAATTGAAAAGGTAATCATCACGATGCAGGGGGGTGTAGAAGGAGTGTGTGTCTGACTTACCAGTAACTGGGAAGCCACCGAATCCCCACTTCTCCTTGAGAGCCTTTGCCTGTCCGACGGTAGTGGTGGGCGAAATGACGACAGGGTCCAAGATGAAGCCGTTCTCGAAGCGCTTGACCTTGCGCACCATCTCAGCCTGGTCCTCCTGGGAGCAGTTGTGGTGGATGACACCGAGACCTCCGAGGAGGGCAATGTGGATCGCCATGTTGTGCTCGGTGACCGTGTCCATGGGGGAAGAGACAAAAGGAGTCTTCAGGGAGATGCGCTTCGTGATTGGGGTATCAAGGGCAACTTCGGCCGCGGCGAAGCCTGTGGCCCTGTTAGGATGCTGCGATGACATGGCCAGAGTGCCAAAAAAAAGTTTGTGGTAGGCAGGGTAGGCCTGGGATAGCAAAATTGCGAGGCAAACGCACCAATGTAACCGGGAAGCATGAGAAAGTCATTGTAGGTCAGACCACCGTTCTTCTTGGAGTCGATGAGGGTCTTGACATCAATGCCATCATGCTCAGGGTACTCGTTCTTGAGGATCTCAAGCGCCTTGGTGTGGTCCAGGGCGTCGACGGTGGTGTTGGTCATGGCGTCGCCGTTTGAGATGGGCATGACGTGAAAATAAAAGAAAACGCTTGTCGAGGAACAGACAAGGGCAGTTGGGGGTATCACTGAAAGAAAACAGACCGTGGTTCTTTGAGCAAAGACAGCGGCCGGGGAAAGTTGCAAGCTTTCCCAAGAGAAAAAAAAAGTGTGAGAATGACGGCGGAGAAAGAATTTCAGTGGGCGCGAATGCCAAGGCCGAGTCCGGTTCAGGTGACCCCGCCTTTTAGCGTGTCGGCGGGCGCGTCGCAGGAGAAGGGCATCTTTGGCGTCGAGAGCAGCGCGACGGGCTGCGACCAGGATGGAGCGAGTTGGGCCACAAGGGCGAGAAGATGGCGACGTGGGCGAATTTATCTCAGGCCGTCTCAAGCGACGCTAGACGACGTGCGCTGGGACGCATTGGCTCCCCGTGCAAGAGGCGCTGTGCAAAGAGCGGTGTCGGCCCTCTGTGCAGAGACGGCGCAGACGAGACAGCCGCTGGCTTGTTGCGCGCAATGAGGAGGCATCGAGACACGACAAGGCCACCAGGGCGCCGAGGGCTGGCGAGCGCTAACACGTTGCTTTGCCAGAACCCCCCGTTGGGATCGGACGAGAATGGGGGTGACGTGACGGGCGGGTCGAGAAGCGTTCTGGTCGGCTGGCCGCGGTTGGCTCGACAACACACACTCGCAGCCCGAGTAAACATGGGCCCGAAAGCTTGGACTCAACCACACGTCCATTTGCAGTCTCAACGCCGGAGTCTTCATCCTGCGATACCCCGTTGCCCGCCCTTCTTTACCCTCGTTGCCCGTGCAGACTCGACTTGCGCGCCTGGTCGCAGGGCTGAATCCGCTTCCTTTGGGCTGTGTGCGCTCTTTTCGTTTGCCCGGCAGTCGCCTCCACCACCATCAATCTCTTCTACTCTCCGGGCCTCCATGACGGCCTCGTGAGCCTCACCTGCAAACACCATTCACTGACCCGCCTGCCTCGGATCCTGTGCAACATATGCTGTCCCGCACCCCGTCG